GATGATAATTCAAAAAATTGATATGTATTCTTTTTGAAAATCAAAAAGATCTTGAAACAAATATTGATTAATAAAATTTAAAATCTGTAATTTAATTCTATAGAATTAAGTTAAAATTTGAACAAATATTGTTGGGCTTTAGTGCAATTCGTGTGTACTATGTACCGTGCAATGCATTGTCGGTGTTCCGTTTTCGACCGATTATCGCGTTTTCTTCTTTAATAATTATTGCAAACCTATTTTCTATTAAAACTAAATTAAAATATAAATTCGTCATAGTTTAATAAAATTAATTAAATTAATTAATAATACATAAGACTACAATGAAATAGATACGAAAATCACTATAAAATGCACGTAAAAGTGATGTATGTCAGACTGTTAAAAATATTTTGTGATGAGTCAATAATGTGTAGAATAGCTCGTAACATACTTTGTTTTGTATGGTTAAAACTTATAAGTCGTGGGAATATGGTCTCGAGTTCAAATATTTTAAGAACAGAAATAATGTTAATCAAGCTTATGTTACATTTTTTTTTTTGCTTTAAAAAAGAAAAAAGAAAGAGAAAAAAAACGATGCCAAACTTAAGCGAGCTTTAATTAAATCAAACACAACGCCGTGTTTTGAAAACTATTACTCATGTGTGAATGATCAAACATAATGATCATATTTGATATGAAAGAGACGAATCATTATTTTGTGGGAAAAAATCATCTCAATCGGATGATACAATTCTGTATTAACCAATAATATATACAGAAGAATTAGGGCTACCGATACCTAAAGATAACCTAAGACTAATATAGTAAATACACAAACATACACAATAACACCCCCCCTCAAGTTGGAGCATGCGGATTCCGAATGCCCAACTTGCCAAGAAAGAAATCAAATTTACGCTTCCCAAGTGCCTTGGTGAAGATGTCAGCGAGCTGTTCCCCAGAAGGAACATGAGTAGTAGAAATGAGACCCTGAAGAAAAGCATCTCGAACAAAGTGGCAATCCACCTAAATGTGCTTAGTGCGCTCGTGAAAAACCGGATTCGCTGCAATATGCAGCGCAGACTGACTGTCACAGTGTAATCGCATAGGCTGAGAATGAGCGACACCAAGAGTAGATAATAGTCCCCGTAACCACTTCAACTCGCACAATGTAGTAGCCATCGCCCGATATTCAGCCTCAGCAGAGGAACGTGCGACAGTAGGTTGTTTCTTGGTTCGCCAAGAAACAGGAGACTGACCTAGCTGAATAAACCAACCAGAAAGAGAGCGCCGAGTGAGAGGGCAAGACGCCCAATCCGAATCACACCATGCATAGAGCTGAAGATCGCAGTTAGTACGAAGATGAATCCCCTGACCAGGAGAGCCTTTCAAATATCAAACCACACGTAAAGCAGAGTCCCAGTGAGCCTGACGTGGTTGGTGCATAAATTGAGAGAGCATATGGACAGAATAAGACAGCTCAGGTCGAGTCACTGCTAGATAGATAAGACGTCCGACTAAACGACGATATCGCTCGGGATTAGACAATAAATCACCCTCAGCAAGAGGGAGCTGATGATTCTGCTCTAATGGGAAATCAGCTGGCTTGCTTCCTAGTAGTCCGACCTCAGCAATGATGTCAAGAGCATACTTCCGCTGACAGAGAAAGAAGCCAGAAGAATTTCGGGCAACCTCGATACCCAGAAAATACTTAAGCAGCCCGAGATCCTTCATGTGAAAACAACGACTCAAGTAACTCTTGAAGGCTGCAATGGATGTGGTATCATTCCCGGAAGCAATCAGATCATCAACATAGACCAGGACCTGCAGATGGACAGAACCACGATGCAGTGTAAAAAGAGAGTAATCATGATAGGACTGACAAAAACCATACTGTTTCAAAGCTGTAGCCAACTTGGCAAACCAACAGCGGGGAGCCTGCTTCAAGCCATAGAGGGAACGACGAAGACGACAAACTTTTCCATCAACGCCAGAGTGAAAACCAGGAGGAAACTTCATGTAAACCTCCTCGGCCAAATTATCATGAAGAAAAGCATTGTGAACATCCATCTGGTGAACTTCCCAATGCTTAGCAGCAGCCACAGCTAAGAATAACCGGACTGTAACCATTTTGGCGACGGGTGCAAACGTCTCATGATAGCCAAGACCTTCCACCTGATTATTGCCCAAAATCACCAAACGCGCTTTATAGCGCTCAACGGAACCGTCAGACTTATGCTTGATCTTAAAGACCCACTTGCACCCAATGGCATGCTTTCCAGATGGAAGAGAAACCACATCCCATGTGCCATTATTCACCAAGGCATGAATCTCATCCTGCATAGCGGCTCGCCATCGAGGATCAGTCACGGCAACAGCAAAAGTGCGAGGCTCAACAGCGGAGGCAACAGCAGCCAAAAAAACTCGATGAGTTGGAGAAAATGAATCACAAGAGACATAATGTGCTATGGGATACGGCGTACCGGAGGATGGAGACGACTGGGGAGAAGCAGTAGGGGGTACAGTCGAGGGCTGGACAGTGTCAACCACAAAATCCTTCAGCCGAGTGGAAGGAACCTTAGTCCGATGACCACGACCCAAGGGCTCCACTGGAAGAGTGGAAGGGGTAGTGGTAACGGAACCCCCCCTGTCGTCAGACGTGTCCATATCAGTTGCAGAAGACCCAGTATTAAGAGAAACATGAGGCAAAGAGACAACTGGAACATCATCATCATCATCCGGTGCAGAAGAAACCGGCACAACAAGAGGCGGTGGCAAAGAATCTGGCTCAGACGAGTCTGACTGATTTGGAAATTCATTCTCAAGATACTCCACATCACGAGATTCAAAGAAAATCTGACGATCCAAATCATACAAACTCCACGCCTTTTTGCTAAAAGGGTAACCGACAAATAGGCAACGACGACTCCGAGCAGCAAACTTGTCACCATTACGAGCCTGGTTATGAGCATAACAAAGGCAACCGAAGACCCACAAATGAGACAAGGAAGGAGCCGAACCATAAAGAATCTCATATGGGGTTTTACCATGTAAAATCGAGGAAGGAGTCCGATTTATCAGATAGACCGCAGTCAAAACACAATGACCCCAAAAAGGAAGAGACAGGTGAGCCTGGAAACGTAAAGCACAAGCTACATTGAGAATATGCTGATGTTTGCGTTCCACACGCCCATTTTGCTGAGGGGTGCCTACGCAAGAAGTCTCATGCAGAATCCCTTGACGACGAAAATAAGAGGCCAAACACATGAACTCACTTCCATTATCAGTACGAACAACACGCACTAATTTATCAAATTGTCGTTTAATCATAGAAAAAAAATTCTGCAATGTGGAAGCAACCTCCGTCTTATCATTCAATAAATAAACCCATGTCCCACGAGAACAATCATCCACAATAGTCAAAAATTACCCTGCACCACAGAAGGACGGAACACGATACGCACCCCACAAATCACAATGAAACAAATGAAAAGTCTCATGACTAACAGTCTGACTGAGAGGAAAACTACGTCGATTTTGTTTAGCACGAAAACAAGCATCACACGATTTATGCAAATTACGAGAATTCGAATCAATAACAGGGACCTGGGACAATACTTGAGCAGACGGATGACCCAAACGTTGATGCCACACATCGGCAGAAACCTTTCGAACACAAGAAACTGCCGTCGAAACCGTCCCTCGAAAGAAGTAGAGACCGCCTAACTGCTCACCCGCGCCAATCACCTTTTGCGAAGTGCGATCCTGAATAACACAGAATTTGCTAGTAAACTGTGCGGTGCAATTGGAACGATCCAGCAATTGATATAATGAAATCAAACTGCACCGAAGGCTGGGAACGTATAAAACATCATAAAGAGTGATATGAGGTCCCAAATAAACAGTTCCAACCTTGTTAGCCATAGTCAAAGAACCATTAGGCAATTGAACAGGACGGACGGGAATATCCCGAACGTCAGAAATAAACTCCAGAAACCCTGTCATATGATGAGTTGCCCCACAGTCGTACATCCAATCGAATAAACCACGCGTACCAGACAAGGGATTATTTTGTTTAGCGGAATTAACCAAAAACACAAACTGAGCCCATTGCTCATTGGTTAAATCGCCAAGTGCAAGACGATCATGATCAGTCAAAACTCCACTAGCAGTGGAAGAACTAACAGAACCGACAACAAACAAATCATCAATACCACTGGAAAACGCTGCATTCGTACGAGCGTCACTCTTGGCACGAGCTCCACCACGGCGATCACCACCAAAATTACAATTGCGGCCACCAGTAGAACCGAAACCAATCAACGAAGAATCAGCCATAAAGGAACCAAAATTACAACTCTTTTTTTTTCTTTTTTCTTTTTTTTTTTATCTTGCTTTGGTTTTGGTGCAGCGGGGCGGTCAATTGACAAAGGAAAATATAGCTTTGGTCACGTGNTTCTGAAATTGCAGCAACCGTGAAGGAGAACAGATTGGACAGAAAATAAAATTGCGATCGGGAAAGAAAATTAAGTCTCTGATACCATGATACGAAAGAGACGAATCATTATTTTGTGGGAAAAAATCATCTCAATCGGATGATACAACTTTGTATTAACCAAGAATATATACAGAAGAATTAGAGCTACCGATACCTAAAGATAACCTAAGACTAATATAGTAAATACACAAACATACACAATAACAATATTCGCCATTGATAATCAGCATAGCTTCTTCCTAGATATACCGATACTCTCAACTCATCATTTATATTTTTTCCTTGCCTGAATATATACCAACGATTTTACATCTTTTTGATCCACACGACTACCTAAAAACTAAAGTACATTACACTACACTGCTTCAGAGCGGTTTTTGTCCGCCCGAGCCTGTTTCATCTAGCTACGCGAAGAACCTTGGTTAAAGCTTCATACAGCAGATTCTGCAAAAGGAAAAAGGAAAGTATGACTAAGTTAGAGAGAGCTAGAGTTGATTATTCTTAATCACATGATAATCAATCATTCTTGAGCAGTAATCACGATACTCGTACCGGATAGCTTTTCCGGCACCGACGCTGTACTTTTAAACCCGCGAGGCCTGCTGTGCACGGATGCCACGTCAGGGTCGCTCTTGATATCCTGCATAAAGAAGAAGCAACCTAATTATTAGTATGAAAATTAAGTGGAAATTAAAATGGTAGTTTAATTTGAAGTCCCAACCTTGTTTTGGGAAGCATAGGTATGGTTAGGAAAGGGAAAAGCATTCCCCATCCTCTCCTCCGCAAACTCCCTCAACTTGCTGAGCTCCGGCACAACAACCTTCCCAAGGTCCGGCCTGTCCTTGCGCCTGAGCTCCGCGCACTGCAGCGCCAGCCTGGCTAGCACGAGTGCCTCCTCGTGTGGCCAGTCAGGGACGGCCGGGTCGAGTATTTCAGCCAGTCGACCCTCCTCCACGGCCCGGCCCACATGGTGGGTAAGGCCCATGGCAGGACGACCCGTGAGTATCTGGAGAAGGACAATCCCGAGGGAGTAGACATCAGATTTGACTCCCAGCATGCCCGTCTGCTGGTACTCTGGGTCGATGTAGCAGAACGTGCCCGCAGCTGAGGTCATGCGGTACTGTGTCACGTCTTCGGCTACAGAGGGGGGCACGAGTCGGGCAAGCCCCACGTCAGCAATTTTGCTCACGAAGTTTCGGTCGAGGAGGATGTTGGCGGGCTTGAGGTCGCGGTGGACTAAGGGCTCGGGCTTCGTCTGGTGGAGGAAATTGAGGCCCATTGTGATCTCGAAGGCGATGCGGAAGCGGAGGGGCCAGGGGAGGGTCGGCAGCCGATCCTCGAGGCTTCCGTGGGCCATGTGCTCGTAAACGAGGCAGCCGTACTCGGGGCAAGCGCCGAGAAGGAGGACGAGGTTCGGGTGGCGCATGCAGCTCAGGACTTGGACCTCTTGCTGAAACTGTGATCTCCCTTGGGCAGCGTCCGGACGCAGCACCTTGACGGCCACAGCTGTGTAATCGAGATGACATTTGTAGACGGGTCCGTACCCGCCTTCTCCAATTTTGCGAGACTCGGAGAAGTACTCGGTCGCCTCCTCGATTTCTGCGATGGTGTATCGCCTGTACCTCAGTGGGACTGAGTCTGCCAGGGCTCTTTTCTCGATGTTGACTCTTTTCTGGGACTCGATTTCTGTGATTCTTTGAGCCGCTTCGGCATTCTGCATCGCTGCCTTATACTTGGCTTTCTCTTGTTCGGCTGCCTGGCGGGCGGCTTCCTCTGCTTGATGAGCCTCTTCCAGCCTCCGTTCTTCTTCTATTCTCCACCGGTGAAGCTCCACAGTCTGTATATATATAATTTTTTTTTATATATAATTTAATGCTAGAAAACATGTTTTGCGGAAGGGTATACCTTTTGCTTTGCTGATAAAGCTTCCTTGCATGCTGTGCTGTACATTTCCATGGTTTTCTGAAGCTCGAGCTTTAGTCTTCTCATTTCAGCTTCCACATCATCCTGCATTTTTTTTTTTTTTTTTTTTTNAATTAAATTTGCTACTAAATACGCTACATGCATGCTCTTTCTTGTTCTAAGGTTATTTTATTTCATTCTTTTTATTTTCCTTTGCATTTGGGCATTTTTATAATCCTAACCAAAAAAACAGGGGACATATGATGAAAGTATAAAAATGTTAAACATTGGCAATTGGTTATGGTTGAAATAATAATAATTTGCTTACATTTTCAAGGGAGGAGGTGGAAAAATCAGTGAATGAACTAATCTCGCTGTACTTTGTCCCATAGGGGGTCGACCCGAAACTACTCTCAGAGCTAGTGGAGACTCTGGAGGTACGACCCGAATCCAAGCCATCCAAGAATAATGTGCTTGCTCTGTCGGTGCTCGGTCTGTCCGAGCTTATGAACGATATATCTGTATCCGTTTCCGACAGCTCAAACATGTTTGCATTGTATCCTCTTGCCATAAAAGGTGACCTGTCAGTGCACGAATGTTGTCAACAACTAATTAATTATCTATCTCACAAACAAAAAAAGAAAATGTTAATTTATTTAGAAAGATAGGTAGGTACTTGAGTAAATCATTTTCGTCAACACCACTCTTGCGCGGGGTGGACCTTCTGATAGTGGGCGTGTGTTTGTACGGGGCAGTAGCGGCCTCCTGCTGCATTTGGTGTATTTGTGTGGTTAGAGGAGATGTGAAGGGGGCTATACGGGATGCATTCTTAACGGCTGAAATTTTGGTTTTTGAGATGACGTAAACCGTGCAGAAGTCGGGTGCTGCTTTAGATACACTGCTAGGGACATCCACAGCCTTCAACCTTCTGATAAACCCATGATGGGATGCTCCAAGAACAATGTTCTCAATGGCAGCATGGGCAACATATTCTGTAATTGCTTTTGCAATATCCGTGTCCTCCAATACCACATCAAAACAAAGTATCTGTCATAAAAATTAAAAATAATAACAACCACCATGACCATGAGATGAATATAAAAAGTCGACCCAAACAAGAATATATATTAATAATATTTCCGCGTACGTACGTCTTTACGAGTACAAAAGCAATGATACGTGAGGAGCAACTCTTTCGTCTGCCTTTCAAGTGCTTGCTTGTCTGGACCAGCAGCTCCATTCACACCATCAATGGAATAGGTTTCGCAATCTGCAACACAACACACGAAATATCTCGTATAATTACCTTTTAATTCACCGCAGAACGTCGTTAATTATCGTCACTAAATATTCACTTTTTGCCCATAACTTTATGTGTCCTACTTTTTCCAATCCTAACCACATCTCACCCAATATCTAAAGAATAACTACACAAATATGTTATCATCAAGCGATTTAAAAGCTGAAAAAGACAATTTAGAACAACATGTGAATGTGCATGAATGTGTTAGGCCATGCATCGAGGTATGTCTGTTTACGTACACGAAGAAGGCCTCTGAATGACGTGAATAAGAATGACAGTTTGACCCTTGGCAAGGAGATTATCGATGGCCCATTTGATCGCATGTTGACTTCCTTTGTCCTTGTCCACGGCAACAGCAATGAGCCCATTGCGTCCGCCCTTTTTCCCCAAAGTACTCCCTTTTGCATTTGGAAGCCACATTTTATCAAACACGAAACTTGCTATCAAATTAAGGGTCTTTGTTTTCGTAATATGCCTTTTTCTTCCCTTCTTTATTTTCCTGTTTTTGGTTGCCCTTTTATGTTTCTTGGGTTTTTGACTTTTTGTTTCCTATGGTTTAGTGTCCTTGAAATTCAGTTGGTTTGAGATATTAAAGGGCATCCAAATTAAGGGCGCCCCTGAAATCTCGCAGTCATCTGTGATAGTAAAGGAAAGTTGAAGAACAAAGACTGACGGTCTAAAATCAGTTCTCAGAATGTGGTAAGAGGGAAAGTTAATTAATCAAAGTGCACCTAACAATATTGCTTTAGGGATCTCATTGGTCAATGAATAAATAAATAATTGGACATGGTTATTTTCACTGAAAATGAGTTAAAAAGGTTTTCACACCAATAAATTCGCAAATAATTATGCGATAAACTATGAAAAATAAAGACGAAGATAATTGATAAAATGAGATATAATTATACGATACTATGCGACAAAGAAACGACAATAACAGATTAAGTGCGAAATATTTATGCGACAGACAGACAAAAATAATCAAACAAGTACAAACTAATTATGAGATAATCTATGTCGGCGAAGATAATTAAGCAAGTGCGAATAATTATGCGATATGCGATAAATTATGTAACAGAGAGACAAGAGTAATTGATAAAGTGCAAAATATTTATGCGATAAACAATGCGGCAAACATGAGAAATTAATTGACAAAGTGCGAAAGAGTTATGCAACAAAGTATGCGACATACATGCGAAGTTAATTGTGCAAATGTTAATTACTTATGCCATAAACTATGCGACAAATAAGTGAAATTAATCGAACAAGTGCGATCTCATTATGTGATGAACTACACGAAAGACGGGCGAAGTGTTAATCAAGCAAGTACAATCTCATTACGTGATAAACTAGGCAAAAGACAGATGTAGTTAATTTAGCAAGTGCGATATCATTATGTGATAAACTGCGAGAAAGGCAGGCGAAGTTAATTTAGTAAGTGTGGTCTCATTATGTGATAAACTAGGCGAAAGACAGGCGATGTGATAATTGAGCAAGTGCGATCTCATTATGTGATTTTAGGCAAAAAAACAGACGAAGTTAATTGATTAAGTACGAAATAATTATACGATAAATTATGGGATAGAAAGACGAAGAAAATTGAGCAAGTGCGATCCTATTATACAATAATAACATATGCGGCAGATAGGCGAAGTTAATTGAAAAATTGCGTAAAAAATTATTCGATAAACTAAGCAAATATAGGCGACGGATATGCAGAGAATTATGTGAGCAGTTCAGTCAGTCGCGGGTATGCCGCATTTTAGTCGGAGATCAACTTCTTGCACCTGTTTTTACTTTTTCCAGCTTCTCCTTAATTATCAAAATCTAAAACCATGAAATTAGTACATGAACCTGCGATTGTGATACGAATGTAGCGTAACCAAGAAAAATACAAAATACATTCACTCTTTTTTCTTTTCATTTGTTATGGATGTGGATGAAATTTTTTGGACTTCATTCATGTAGTATTTATACTGATGCGTAACGTTTCAAGTTGGCTCATAATCATTTATGTAGTATTTATTGATACGTGACGTTTCAAGGCATGCAGAAAGGATTGTTCGAATGACATGTGTGCTTTAGAAAATGCGAGACATTATGCGACTATTTTGAATCACAAAAATCATTATATTTGTTTTTTCTATTAAAAATGCATCAGAACTGTGATCCACAAAACCATTATTACTAATTTTTTACTAAAATATGTGCCATTAGTTTATTTCTAATTTGATTTTGGGTAAATTAATATGTAAATTGTGGTTATTACATTGGAATTCGTCACTAAAGATTAATGTTTGAATGACAAACATTTGAATTTGTCATTTAAAATATAAACTTTTTTTTTTTTTTCTGAATATTCAAATATCCAAGCAACGAAATCTCAATTGTAAAAGTGGCAAGTTCGTCAATATAAGTTAATGTTTAAATGACAAAATATCAGTTTGTCATTCAAATACGAACTTTTAGTGACAATTTAAGAATTTCAATGACGAAATTTCGATTGTAAACATGACGAGTAACACCACTATAAATAAATTTTAATGACAGATCAGAATAATGTCATATATAAATTTTGTGACGCGACTATGTTGAAAAACGTTATGATAAGAAATTGTTGTCGCTACATACTTTTAGTGATGAAAAATAGAATGAATTTTTATGCTGAACATTTTTGTCGCAAAATATCAAATATCTTGTAGTGTTAATACATATATTAATAAAATGGCCCCTGAATTTTTAATTTTTGAACAACTATAATAAATACAATATTGTGACCAAACATGTAATTTCTGTCCAGATGGAGGGGATATAATGAAGAAAAAGACCCGGTGGCCGACCTACCTGGAAGTATAGAGCACGGATATATAGAGTAAACTTATGGTACTGCTATATACGTTGAAGAGGGATAGGACTTGGGCCACCCGCTCTGCCCAATCTATTAATTCCCAACGGCATTTCATTGTTTATATATGTTATTAATTTTGTAGTTGGTAAATAAATATAATTTTATAAATAACATACATATCCTTTTATAGTAATTGTTGTATCTAAATTGTGTGATCTGTATTAGCCCATCAAACGCTGATGATGTAGATCATGGATTCGAACTGACAGTATATCTTAAAATCCTATTATGCGAAGCCAACCAAACTTCTAAATACATAAAACACATCGACATGGAATGTGTGAAGGACATTTACGCCACTCAGGGGCGAAATCAAAAAATTAGTTGAGAGGAGACAAAAGACATGACATAATGGGTTCAGAACCGAACTCTAATGGATTCAGAACCGATAACATTTCGGTAACCGATTTTCGGTTACCGTTACACATAAATCGGTTCAGTTAGGTTTATTTTCTCATCGATTCGGTTCGATTTTCGGTTTTCAATCAAAAAATATTTGCCCTAGCATAGGCAATAAAAGAGTTGAAGTCTTTTATATGGCGCAATTAAAATTGTAGAATGATAATAATTAATATACAAAATTAATAGTAAAATAAAAGAAGTGTTGAATTGTTAATTGATAATTGTGGACAAGTTGGACTGGTGAGTAATGTTTAAAAACATTTTATTGTTTCGACTAAAAAAAAAAGAGTAGTGTTTAAAAACAAAAAATCTGGGGGTGCAAAAATAAATTGAAAGGGGGGACAAATTAAAATTTTTAATATTAATAGCAAAAATAAATAAAATTTGATTGCCCCCCTAATCATATATGTAAATTCGCCCATGACGCCACCTTCTATGACGATCTCACTCTGGGCTGTAAATTTGTCAGGCCATCATCATTGTGACACAAGAGAGGCAATTATCTCACATCGATAGCGACCACAGATGTACCAGGCTTCCTTCATGTCGATCTCAGCTGATCTAGTGTAGAAAAGATTGTCGTCGAGAACTGATTCGCATCGCCCTAAAAATCAACCACTTGGGGGAGAAGATTTTGTGGTGGAGGAGCAGCGAGCTTATGCTGTTTTGACCGGTCAATGCCAATCAGCGACTGTCGGTCAAAACCAAAATTTTATTTAATATATAATTAATATTTATTATTATATAAATATTGTATATTGTAATTGATGTACAAAATATCAATGGCTATAATTGGGTATCATTTATTCGGTAGACTCATTTGATCCCTAGATATACACGTATAGCTGTTAAATTAAAAACAACTTATGAAATTAATTCATGTCTTGTGACACATGCAAGTGAGGTAGTTGTAAAGTGGCCATGCTGCATTTATTGCTTCATTTAATCAGCCGAAATTCATTTATAAAAAATAAGAGTTGCCTAATAAACAACCAACCAATACATCCTCACCCACCACGCACCCCCAACCTACGCATATATCTGCCTAAACAAATTTGTGTTACTTGTATTGTCTTGGGGGATATTATTTCTTAGTTTTTTTCAGGAAAAAAAAAGGATAAACAAACATGGAACAAGAAAAACGAAGCAGAGTGAGAGTTGAGTCCTTACTGAGCGTGGTGTCCAGCAAGCCAATCGAGCCCGGAAAAATTCACGAGCTGTCATTGGTGGACCAGGCGATGAGCCCTTACACAATCCATCTGGTGTTTTATTACAGTTCAAACCCATTCAGCCGCGGCCCAATGCCGACGGACCTCGACAATCTCCGGGTGTCCCTATCCCGCACTCTGGATGAGTACCCGGTCGTAACTGGACGGCTGACCAAAGGGCCCGACGGCAGATGGCAGGTCAAGTGCAACGACGCTGGGGTGAGGATGGTCCAAGCGAGCGTGAGTTGCCCACTGGACGAGTGGCTCGGATCTGCTGACGCCTCCGAGGAGAGAGATCTGACGGTGTGGGAAAACATGCCCGGGGACCCTAGCTTTTGGTCCCCTTTCCGGATCCAGGTAATTTAATTTAGCTAGGAGTTGGAACGTGTGTCAGAAAATTTAATTTAATTTTGTGTAGAAACAATAAAGTTAATTAATTAAAGAATTTGGGTATGGTGGAGGGAGAGTTTGAATGTTGAAATAATTAATTATTGCAGATAAATAATTTCAAGTGTGGGGGCTTGGCAATCGGGTTGAGCTGCACCCACATGCACGCGGACATAACAAGCGCGGCGGCACTGATGAAGTCGTGGGCGGAGGTCCACAGCGCCCAACCCTTCACCAACCCTCCCATTTTTCACCATCTCCCCCAAATTCAATCGCCCACTGTACCCACAAACGTCAGTATTGTCGGTCATTCCCCAAAACTCACAATGAAATTCTCGGCACCCGCCATCGAAAGTCTCCTGTCCCAAGTCCGGAGCCGGTGCCCCAACGCCACCCCTTTTGATGCTCTGGCGGCTCTGTTCTGGTCCCCACAGCTTCAAGGATCAAATCGCTCCCTTTGCGTGTGCGTCGATTCGAGAGAAAAGGGGCTGGCGCCCCGCGGCTATTTTGGCAACGCTTTTATTTTCTCCCTTGTCAGCGCGGACGAGGAGCAATCGCCCGAATTAGGTCAACTGGTTGACTGTATCCACCGACATGTGGCGGGACTCGGTGGGGATGGGGACTTTTGGACCTACACTTCCCACCTCACATGTGTTGATTTTGAGGGGTCGACCATGTACGATGTGGAGTTCGACAAGGGTGAAAGCCCTGTCCACGTCAGCTGCCGTGTGGGAAATTTTTATGGGAAAGGGCTGATAACGGTGATGCCGTCTCCGGATGGCGGGCGCACGGTCACGGCCGTGCTCCCCGAAGAGCAGATTGCGGTGCTGTGCAAAGATGGGCCAATACGGGAACTCCACCCCACTCTCCTCCTATCTTCTTCACCCTAAACTGTGCCAAAAGTAACAATAATATGATCATAATTAACACGTGATGCATCTTCAGATTATAATTATTATTCACTTTTATGTTTGGTGAATTTGAAGTTATACAAGTTTGTCAAGACATTTGATTGATTTGTTGTGGTGCATCTTTCTTCACTTCATTTGTCAAAACAAATTATATTTATTTTCTCATTCTAGTAACTGTGCTTTTTGCGTTTTGACATATCCAATAATGAAGATACAAGTCCAAAGACATATGTTTTGCAGATCAGGTGCTGCATATACTGATACTGAATGGGCCAATTTTTTTTTATTGAGGGTTGGAGTAATAGTTGCCTCCCTCTTTCAGGGTATAAGATAAAAGCAAGACTCAATACTGGAATCAATCTTCTATGCATGACACACAAAAAATACCATATGTTGAGTTTGCTATATTGTACGGAATAAAACACATCAGAAATTAAACAAAATAAAACAAGCATTTATCGAATAAGTATTAAACCTGTTGGCTCCCGTAGCAATTATAACGACCGACATATTTTAAAATCACGTAATAGTATGAACTTTGATTTGTAGAAAATTTCAAAAATCACCTTTTTCATTTGTTCGCCGTAGATATTCACGTGTCTCCCCTCCAAGGAAGTCCGTTAGCGCGCGCTTCTCCGCAAAACAAGTTCACAATACACGATCTTCATCATTTGTGCTCTCATCGAGCGTGTATCAACACTGTGGAGGAGAATCTGAGGTCCGTGAGCGACAATTTGAGGGTCTTGACCGATGGTCTTCATTCCACGAACCAAACCGTGGCTCGACTCGATCGGTTGATGCTTGGCATAGCCGAGCGGCGTGCACGGCGTAGGAGCAAATCAAACTCATCCACAAAGGACTCAAGCGACTTGGAGGCGGATCACGACAATTCTGAGGGCGAGTCCAAACACTGATCACAGGGTTCTAATCCCCTTGAGAAGCGAAGGTTCAAGAAGCCAAAGTTAACTCTACACACGCTCAACGGGACGGACCCGGATGCATGGTTGAGTCAAGCTAATCAATACTTTGACATCAACGACATTCCAAAGACCGAGAGGGTGATATTCGCGGCATATTATCTCGACGGAGAAGCCAATGCTTGGTGGCAATGGATCTCACCCATATACAAGAAGAAAGATGAGCGGATCCGTTGGAAAAATTTCGAGGAGTTGATTACGCAATTTGGATCGTCGGATTATCACGACTAAGACGAGGCCTTGTCATATATTCGACAAACGGCCAGCTTGCACGACTACCAAAAAGAATTCGAGCGCATCACTAGCCGCGTATGCGACTGGTTGAAGGGTGCACTCGTAGGCGTGTTCGTTGGGGGCCAAAAACTCGACCTTGCTGCGGAGATGAGACTGGAGAGACCGAAGCAGGCCCGTTCACGGATCCCGTGCCTCGAGTCAAGGGTAGAGCATCAGCGAGCAACCCAAGGTCGTCCATAGAGGCAGCAAGCAACCCAAGGCCGATACCAGTTAGGGTTCGACGATTATCATGGGACGAGTTGCAGCAACGTGACATGCGTCATATTTACGTGCATTTTATAGTGACTTTCATGTCCGTTTCGTCGTAGTTTGATATAAGATTAGTTATTATTTAATTAATTATTGTATAATTAATTATATATTTAATTAATTTTATTAAGCTATGACGAAAGTGTTTTATTTTTAGTTTTAACAGGAAACAGGGTCGATTTAATTTTCGGAGAGGAAAATGGCATGAAACGGATGAAGAACGAATAAGAGCCATGTATTGGGACAGGCCAAATTGCACAGCCCTTCAAAGCTTAACTAGACAGCCCAACATTGGCCCATACAACCAACCCAATTCAGCATTTTAAGTGAGGGCACGATGGTCATTTCACCAGAAAAAAAAAGAAGGTGCCTTCGTCTCCAACGTGAACTCACGAACGCCATTGATGAAACTGCAGCCATAATGTTGGTTCAGAGATTTTAATTGTTGTTTTTCTTCTTACTGGTATCAAAAATAAGAGAAGAAAAAATGACACAGGAGGAAGTTGGATGCAAAAAAAAACGGATGCATCATTTTCTGGTTTTTTTATTCATATAAACAGAGTAAAATAACTGAACACTAAAAAATAACTTCTACTCAAATAACTTCTACTAGCTTGTATTCAAAAATAAAAAACTACTATGCTAAAGCAAATACTGGACGCATATTTCAAACAACAAGATTAAATTATCAATATCTTCCTTAAGCTTGTTGTTCTCTACCAATGGTCTTCACACCAATCCTTTCTCTCATTTCCTGGAATTTTATTTTTGCCAACGACTTAGTTAGAATATCAGCACTCTGATCTTTTGTGCAAACGTGTTGAATTTCGATCATCCCTGATTCAACGCAATCCCTGATGTAGTGAAAACGGGTATCGATATGCTTACTCCTCTCATGATAAACCGGGTTTCTGCTCAATGCAATTGCGGACTGATTATCGATCTTCAGCACCACTTTCTTAACCTCGACCTTCAATAAATCTGCTAGCAATCGCCCCAGCCATACTCCTTGACACGTTGCTGCACATGCAGCGATATACTCAGCTTCACAAGAAGAAAGTGCAACAACTTTCTGTTTCTGTGAACACCAACTAATCGGATTAGACCCAAGAAAAAATATTAATCCCGAAGTACTTTTCCTGTCATTGGTATCACCAGCTAGATCACTGTCAGAATATCCGACCAGCTCCAAAACTCCTTCCTTCTTCTCATAAACACAACCGAGATTTAACGTACCTTTCACATAGCGTAATATGTGCTTTACTGCTGCCATGTGCTCTGTTGTGGGCTTCTCCATGTGTCTGCTCACCATGCCGACTGAAAACGCCAAATCCGGTCGCGTGTGCAATAGGTATCTCAAGCTACCAACTACACTTCGATACAAGGTTTTATCAACTGGAGGATTAGTACTCTCTTTGTTCAGCTTCAAACGTGGCTCCATCGGAATATGTGTTGAATTGCAATCTTTCATCCCACATTTATCTAATACTTTTCTCGCATAAGCTGACTGATTTAGAGTAATTTTATGAGGAGTCTGACAAACTTCAATTCCCAGATAATAACTAAGTAACCCAAGGTCACTCATGCTGAACAACCTTTTCATCTGAGATTTAAATTTATCGATATCTTGAATGCTCTCTCCCGTAATAATTAAATCATCCACATATACACCAACAATTAAGTTCCTTTTCTCCTGACTTCTGGTGTACACGGCATGCTCTAAAGAACACTTCTCAAAACATAGCACCTTCAGTGACTTATCCAGTTTTGAATTCCACGCTCTAGGTGCTTGTCTCAAACCGTACAACGCTTTGTGTAATTTCAGCACCTTATGCTCTTCTCCTTTTATCTCGAAACCTGGTGGCTGGATAACATATACATCCTCTTCCAATTCGCCGTTAAGGAAAGCGGATTTCACATCCATATGATGCACTTCCCAACCTTCATGTGCTGCAATTGAGAGCAGCAACCGTATTGTTTCCAACCGAGCAACTGGGGCAAACACTTCGTCAAAGTCTATACCTTGCCTTTGAACATACCCCTTAGCTACCAATCTAGCTTTATACTTCACAATTTTCCCTTCAGCATTTTTCTTCCATTTGAAAACCCATTTCAGTCCTATTGCTTTCTGGTTGTCTGGCAATGTAACAAGTTTCCAAGTTTCATTTTTCTGGATAGAAGATATTTCTTCCTCCATTGCTATTCTCCAACTCGGATCTGTTTTGGCTTCTTCATAGCTCGACGGCTCTTCCTCTCCTAGAAAACACAGCCCTGAATATTCTAAATCAATTGGAAAAGTTCTATCATACAAACTTTTAAGATCTCGCTTTCCACGTGGACCGACTGATGAACTTTCCTCGATCATTTCAGGTTGAACTGATTCGTTAAATTCACCCCCATTAACTTCTGGGGTATGTGGTGAGTTTGAACCAGAATTTCCTATATCAATACCAGACTCATTGATACTCTGTTGATTTTCCCTATTTTCTGTATCAAACATACCTTCAACCGTAAAATATTGTGCCGAAGGTGTGTTCCCTACTCCTCGTGTTTCTGTAACTGGAACTTTGTTCCACTCCCACTTCTTCTCTTCCTCAAACACTACATCTCGTGACACCACAACTCATCTTGTCACTGGATCAAACATCCGATAGCCTTTAGTATTCATGTCATATCCAATGAACACCATTTGCAAGTTTTGAAAGATGAGGCGTAGTATCTCTTACGTGTCCCACACATCCAAATATGCGAAAGTGTTCAACAGAGGGTTTGCGATTAAAATATGCTTCATAAGGAGTTTTTCCAGTGACACTTTTTGTTGGTGCTCTATTTAGGAGATACACGGCAGTTGACACCGCCTCTCCCCAAAATTCACCTGGAACTTCCATGCTTTTCAACAAGCTCCGTGCCATGCCGACCACCGTCTAATTTCTTCGTTCAACAACTCCATTTTGCTGAGGAGAGTATGGCGTCGTTAAATAACGCTTAATTCCCATCATCTCACAATATTGCTTGAACTCATTTGAGGTGAATTCTCCGCCTCGATCCGTGCGCAAAGCTTTCAGCCTACTGTTTTTCTCCATTTCAGCTGCAGCTTTGATCTTCTTAAACGCTTCGAACGCCTCATCTTTGCTTCGAATCAGCACCTGCCACATGAATCTAGTACAATCATCAACCAACAGTAGAAAATAACGCTTGCCTCCATTTGTAGCAGGAGTTATTGGCCCACACAAATCTCCATGTCATAACTCAAAAGGTGATTTCGCTCGGAATTTCGTCACTGCTGGAAATGGATTTCGATGTTGCTTTTCGATTAAACAACCATCGCAAATACGGTCCTCGTGCTCAATTATGGGCAGGCCATGCACCATCTGTTTTTGACTTAGAAGCTTCAAGGAATTAAAGTTCACATGACCATATCTTGCATGCCAGCACCACGCCTTATCTTTGCTTCTAGTCAGGAGGCACTCTGGATGTGTAGGATTGATATGTAGCACATACAAACGGTTCTTCGACCTGCTTACTTTAATTAACAATTTTTGAGTTCTGTCCAAAATTGACATCACCCCTCCTTCAACCATAATCTTGCACCCGTTCTCATCTAACTGACCAAGGCTTATTATGTTACTTCTCAACATCGGGATGTAGTATACATCTG